GGCTGGCTGGCAAGCGCACGTGCCCTATAGCAAAAACCTCTCAAAAAAAAAAAAAAAAAAAAAAAAAAAAAAAAAACGCAAAACCTGAGCAAAGTTGAAAAAGAAGCAGTGATAAGCTTAAAATCAATGCATAAAAATAAATAAATCCTAAATTTATTTGGGTAAATATTATCAAGTATTTGGGAAGCTCATGAATTACCAAACAATGAAGTTTTCTTTTGAGCCAGTTTCCCCAATACTTAGTGAGTTTTCTAAGAGAAATTAAATGTTACAAAGAGAAAAAAAAATCCATATACCAAACAATACTGCTAAACCAACATTAATAATGATCGGAACTGTTGTTAATATCGGAGATACTGAAATATATGACAGTTTCTCTTCTCATCATCAATCTATATTTTACAGATTAGGGAATCTTAATATTCAAGAGACAAAATTCCAACATGGTTTTGTTCAGTATGATGCTCATATTTCTGGGTGTCTCGAGGCAGAAATGGTGATCCGAAGGCCACAGCCTAGTAAGAAGTTAAGTAAGTCATCCCGATGGTGGTATTAAGTATGTCAAGTAGACAAATAAAAATGACAGAGTGTAACAGCACCAACAGCATTTACGCAAGGGTCGTTCAATTTACCACGGAGGGAAAAATACCGAAATCTAGAGAAGAGCGAACTGCATTAGGTGTGTAACCGGCCAAATCTCAGCCCCTTGGCTGTGTGCCCTGTCGTAACTCTATGCTCACAGGCATGGGGTCCTCTACTCACATGTCCTGAAGACATACTGATAACGACTGCTCATTAAACTATTTTAAAACTAACTTAGATAAACATGGAGGCGGATTTTCTGTCCTTCTTTCTTTCCTTTCTGGAGGATCATGTGTATGCCAAGGGGTGCAGGCGTGCTGACACCATGTGAGCTGGGAGGAAGTAAGGCGGGATTGGGCCCTGGTGTCTGCAAAGGGAGCATGCCCGGCTGAGGCCTTGGTGCCAGGCTTCTGGCTTCTAGAACTGGGAGAGTAAATTTCTGTTTTTTAATGTCTTTATTTTTTTTTTCTGATTTACATATAACAGTTATATGTCTTTGTGGTGTGTACAGTATGGTGTTATTTATTTTTTTAAAGACTCGTTTATTTCATTGTATTTATTATAAATTTTTTTGACAGGTTTTGCTATAGGGCGCGTGTGCTTGCCAGATAGAAAGAGATAGAGAGATAGAAAGTGAGAAATCACCCCCAGGGGGGATGGCCATACCGCAATCCCTTCTCCTCCATTCTCCTCTCGGGATCTTGGACATGCACACACAAGTGCAAGGCACAAGTTTAAGCCACCGGGTCCAGGACTCGAACTGTGGTCGCCTACATGGGAGTTCAGTGATATAGCCATTACGCTAACTGCTGGTCCTGTATTTATTATCATTATCATTATTATTATTATTTTTAATTCGACCAAAGGGAAACAGAGACAGAGAGAAAAGGGAAAGTGAGAAAGCAAGCCACCAGATCTGGGACTAGAACCATGGTCAGCCATATGGGAGTCCAGCGCATCAACCACCACACCACCTGCTGGCTTGCAGTGTAGTTTTACAAGCACATGTACATCATGTAATAGTCAAAATAAGGAAATCAGCACATTTAGCACCTCCAGATTTATCGTCGTTTCGTCTTGTGCAATTACAAGTTCTCTCTGCCTGCTGCACTCCTTTGTAACCCACTGCACTTGTCCATGTATGGTCTTGTATCTGTTAACCAAATTCTCTCCATACTCCCCCCTCCCTCCTCTTTTATCTTAGAGTTTTGACTATAGGGTGTATGTGCTTGCCAGAGAGAGGCAGAGTGGGAAAGAGAGAAATCACCCCCCAGGGCAGATGGCCACACGGCAGTCCCTTCTCCATTCTCTTCTCAGGGTTTCGGGCATACACATATGTGTGCCTAGTGTGATTTTGAAGATACCAGGTCCAGGACTTGAACTCTGGTTGGCCACGTGGAAGTCCAGCACCTTGATCACTATGCCATCTGCTGTCCCTTGCCCCTCTCCTTTTCAGCTTCAGGTATTTACCACTACGGTCTCTTCTTCCATGAAATAGAATCTTTTTTTTTTTTTGAACTTTCACAATTTGATAAAGCATTCATGACATAATCTGCAGACTAATTTTTTAAAAAAATAATACTATGAAGCAGACATGACTGCCCTAAAAAATGTAGGCAGGTAGATGTGAAGAAATGGATTTTTGAATAACATTTGGGAGAATGTATTATAAAGCACAGGTCTGATCAAAACTTAATTTGACTTGTTGGAAAATAGGCTGAATTCCACAAGATAATATATTAGTTACTTCTCTATTACCATATGACAATTTACCCCACAAAGTTGCAGCTCAAAACAATGCAATTATTATCTCACAAATAATTTGGATCAGGAATAGAGTCAAGGATTAGCTGCATCCTTGTTTCAGAGTGGGACTGCCAGCTCAATTTGAGCCTCAAGTAAACAGTTTTTTTAAACTAGTATGTTTGTCCTAAATAGCTTATGAGACATATTCATATTAAATTTTTATTTGCTGTTTTATTTGAAATTCAGTTTTAACTGGGCATTTTTTGGTTCATCTATTGTTTTCTAAATGGGGTAACCCTACTCCACAGTCTGGAACTTGACCGCCGTCAAGGTTAGGCAGTGATAGGGTTTCATCTGAAAAGTTGATTTTCAGGGTTTGTGTCTCAGCCCATGTGGTTGTCAGCATAACTCGGTTCTCTCTGCTGGTGGGACTAAGAGCCCCAGTTCCTCCTTGATAGGTGGCCATGGGTTCGCCCCAGCTCCTTGCCAACTGCGTCTCTCACCAGATGACAGCTAGCAGGAAT